GAGGTTGAGGGAGGAGAATCACTTGAAACACGGAGACAGAGGTTGCAGTAAGCAGACACTGCGCCACTGCACTCCAGCCTGGGCAACAGAGTGAGACTCTGTCTCTAAGCCTGGGCAACAGCGCGAGACTCCGTCTCTAAATAAATAAATAAACAAACAAATAAATAAAGTTAAAAAAAAAAAGTAATGGAGCCAGGCGCAGTGGCTCATGCCTATAATCTTGACACTTTGGGAGGCTGAGACAGGCGGATCACTTGAGGCCAAGAGTTTGAGACCAGCCTGGCCAACATGGTGAACCCCGCCTCTACTAAAAATACAAAAATTAGCCGGGTATGGTGGCTCATGCCTGAGGGAGGAGAATCATTTGAAACTGGGAGCCGGAGGTTGTAGTGAGCTTAGACTGTGCCACTGAACACCAGCCTGGGAAACAGAGTGAGACTCCATCTCAAAGAAAAAAATTTTTTAATGTAATGGGAGTTGAATCTAGAAAGGACTAAATAATTATCAGTAAAGTATAAATGGTACAACTATTATTATAAGGTACCGATGTGTTCAATAAGAATCAACATTTATAGCTCGGTGTGGTGGCTCACGCCTGTAATCCCAACACTTTGGGAGGCTGAGGAGGGTGGATCACTTGAGGTCGGGAGTTCGAGACCAGCCTGATCAACATGGAGAAACCCTGTCTCTACTAAAAATACAAAATTAGTCAGGCATGTGCCAACATGCCTATAATCCCAGCTACTCAGGAGGCTAAGGCAGGAGAATCACTTGAACTTGGGAGGTGGAGGATGCAGTGAGCTGAGATCACGCCACTGCACTCCAGCCTGGGCAACAAGAGTGAAACACCATCTCAAAAAAAAAAAAAAAAAAAAAACCAACATTTGCAAAAATTTTCTGATACATGCGTATATATTCTTTGCAGCACTGCTTTTAAAAACAAACTGAAAAGAGAAATTGTTACCAAAAGAGGATGAACCAAACTATACCCATATAAAAGAATATCATACGGCCATTAAAAATATAAGGCAGGTATTTACATATATATTCATGTAGAAAGTAAAAAAGGTACAGAAAAGGTAAACAGTTTTTTCTTTTTTTTTTGAGACAAGGTCTCATTCTATCACCCAGGCTGGAGTACGGTGGCATAATTATAGCTCACTACAGCCTCAAGCTCCCAGGCTCAAGTGATTCTCCCACCTAAGCCTTCCCAGGTAGCTGTAACTACAGACACATGCCACCAGGCCCGGCTAATTTTTGTACTTTTGGTAGAGATGGGGTCTCACTATGTTGCTGAGGTTAGTCTTGAACTGCTGGACTCAAGCAATCCTCCCACCTCAGCTTCCCAAAGTGCTAGAATTACAGGCATGAGACACTGCGCCCAGCCAGTTTGTTTTGTTGTTATGATTTTTGGGTTTTTTGCTTACAAATACACAGAAACATCTAATGACATATACAGAATTTTTTCATTAAAGGACACAAAAGAGACTTAAATACAGAAGAGTGATTCCTACAAAAAAGCAGAAGGTAGTGAACAAGGGGACAGTTTTTTGTATTGTGTGAGATTTCTCCTTCCATGATATGTCATGATACATGTTTCGGCAGAACCACACAACTTAAGATTAATTACAGTCTCTCCTCAACCTGAATGCATCCTTAGAAATGCTGGATGAAATATAAAATTGTAGGCCGGGTACTGTGCCTCACGCCTGTAATCCCAGCACTGTGGGAGGCTGAAGTGGGTAGATCACTTGAGGTCGGGAGTTCGAAACCAGCTTGACCAACATGGTGAAACCCCATCTCTACTAAAAATACAAAATTAGCCGGGCGTGGTGGCATGCACCTGTAATCCTAGCTACTTGGGACGCTGAGGAAGGAGAATCGCTTAAACCCAGAAGGCAAGAGGTAGGTTACGGTGAGCTGAGGTTGCACCACTGCACTCCAGCTTGGGCAACAGAGCAAGAGTCTGTCTCAAAAAAAGGAAAAAAAAAAAAAAAAGAAATACAAAATTGTAGAACAAATGGCAGGAAGTTGTAACTTTTTAAATTTTAAACAAACTAAAACTGAAATTTACCAACTGCAGACTTTTGATGAAATAAGTACAAGTACTTTGGCACAAGTGAACCCAGACGCAGGGACTAGGATGCAACAGGCAATGTGATTTTCTAATATTATAAACTAAGATATTGTTAACAGGGGCTTTAAATGAACACACAATAAACAACAAAACTTAAACTCATGGGAAATAACTGCAAAATTACTCTACTTCAAACATCAAAATACCTTCAGGCAAAGTTTTCTAAGAGCTCAAGAAAACACTGAAGTCTAAGGAAATGTTCTTTGCCATCAATATATCCTCCGTGCCTTAGACGTGTCTCCCGTAACTGACATTAAAGATGTGCTAAATTAGTGAATGTTATACCACTGTTTGTCTGTAGCATCAACACAAATCTTTAGTATAGATGCTTCCATATCTAATCAACATTATTTCCCAACTAGGGCACGACTGTAGATAGGTGGGAAACAGAATGGGAGAGAAGTGCCTAGCAGGCTAAGAGAAAACAATTCACATTGAACAGAACGGCTAGGGCAATCACAGAGCCCAGGAAATTTCCATATGATTCTAATGTGTAATAAAATTTCTAAACCACTGGACTGGACAAACTTTAAGATCTCTTGGCCAGGCATGGTGGCTCATATCTGTAATCCCAGCACTATGGGAGGCCAAGGTGGGTAGATCACTTGAGGCTAGGATTTCAAGACCGGCTTGGTCAACATGGAGAAATCCCATCTCTACCAAAAATACAAAAAAAACTGGCCAGGCACGGTGGCTCATGCCTGCAATCTCAGCACTTTGGGAGGCTGAGGCGGCAGATCACCTGAGGTCACGAGTTCAAGAGCAGCCTTGAACTCGTGGACAACATGGTAAAACCCCATCTCTACTAAAAATACAAAAAATTAGCTGAGTGTGGAAGCACACACTTGTAATCCCAGCCACTTAGGAGGCTGAGGCAGGAGGATTGCTTGAACCCAGGAAGTGGAGGTTGCAGTGAGCTAAGATCACACCAATGCATTCCAGCCTGGGCGACAAAAGTGAGACTCCATCTCAAATTCAAAAAAAGCAAAAAAAATTAGCCGGGCTTGGTGGCACGTGCCTGTAGTCCCAGATACTAGAGAGGGTGAGGCACAAGAATTGCTTCAACACGGGAGGCGGAGGTTGCAGTGTGCCAAGATCATGCCACTGCACTCCAGGCTGGGCAACAGAGTGAGATTCTGTATCCAAAAAAAAAAAAAATCTCTCTACCAGCTCTAACAGCTAATGAATGATTCAGTACCTTTATCGCAAATAACAACTTGCAAATTTTCCACAAAATAAAAGACAGTTTATCTTGGAGTCAGTTATCCTGGAGTCTCGCTCTGTCGCCCAGGCCGGAGTAGTGGCATGATCTCGGCTCATTGCAACCTCCACCTCCTGGGTTCAAGTAATTCTCTGCCTCCCATGTAGCTTATATCACAGGCACCCATCACCACATCCGGCTAATGACAGTTTACCTTTAAATCTACTATAAGATATAAATGAACTCAATTTTGTTAGAAGAGTGAACATACAGAACTACCAAGCTTAGGGTCCAAATTAAATCAAACCACCTGACTAGTTTCTATTGTTTGCTGGGCTCGATTTTGTTTTAACATATGTGGCATCAGCACAGTTACTCAATGACTTGATCATAACTGCTCAATAAACACTTACTGAATTGTGATGTATGAAATACTAGAACACACGTGCCAGGAAAAAAAAAAAAACCTACACTTCATTCTAAAGTAAATGAGAATTTACCCAAAAGGATTTAGAGAAAAATCATCAAATTTTCACCTGCTAAAAAAAATAATGAATCTAGTATACAGAATGGTTTAAAGAAAGCCAAGATTAAATGGCAGAAACGTTCAGCAGGAATGCAGCTGCAGAAATTCAGGCAGGCAGCTGTGGTACCTTGATCTCTGGGGACAGTCAAGAGAAGGTAAATACAAAAAAATTAGATGGGCATTGTGGTGTGTGCCTGTAATCCCAGCTACTCAGAAGACTGAGGCAGGAGAATTGCTTGAACCCAGGAGGCGGAGGTTGCCGTAAGACGTTATCGTGCCATTGCACTCCAGTCTGGGCAACAGAGCAAGACTCCATCTCAAATATATATACATATATTCTTGCCAACTACTAACTTTTCCTAAATCCCCATATCCATCTGTACACACAAATCCTTTTCATCTCTACCAGATTATCCATATGTACTCTTTCAAACATGTAATAATAATCTTAAATAGCCAGCATTTGTCCAAATTCTTCTTCTTACCAAACAAAAAATCCTGTATGTGCCATGTCTACCTACCAAAATTTGCCTGCTATGTTTCTGTTTGCCAAGAGAATCATGTATTTGGTACTGGCACAATTTAATATCCTCAAATTACCTCCAACAATACTACTTGCATAAGTAAAACTAACTTTTTAATTTTTTTTCTTTTTGAGACAGAGTTTCGCTCTTGTGGCCCAGGCTGGAGTACAATGATGTGATCTCAGCTCACTGAAACCTCCGCCTCCTGGGTTCAAGCGATTCTCCTGCCTCAGCCTCCCAACTAGCTGGGATTACAGGTGCGCACAACGACAACTGGCTAATTTTGTATTTTGAGTAGAGACAGGGTTTCTCTATGTTGGTCAGGCTGGCCTCAAACTCCCGACCTCAGGTGATCCGCCCGCCTCAGCCTCCAAAGTGCTGGGATTACAGGCGTGAGCCACCGCGCCCATCAAGTAAAACTAACTTTTAATAAGTTGTGTTTATTTTTAAGGGAAGTTATCTGGGAAAAGGGAGACTTTCACACCTAATATGTTAAGTTCCAACTTTATCTCTAAACTCCTAAATGGCACTTTACACAGTAGTACATGAACGGTACACACACTTAAGGGGAAAAAAAAATCATACCACATCTACATGAAAATCCATGTTTACCTTGCCTCATTAGCATTAATTGGTGTTCATGCCTAGCTGCTTCCATTTCTGCCTCCAGTTTCTCTTTGGCTTCTCTGATGTTTCTATCAACCTGCTCACGCTGCTGCTTTTCCATTTCATCAAGAGCCTTCCATCGAGATGCATACTCAAATTCAAATGTCCCAGGCTGAGCAAAACGTGGCGGTTGTTCTCTTTCCCTAAATTAACATTAAAACATACAGAAATGTACGCTTAAAAGGTAAAACAACAACAAACGAGAACAACAAGTACTTACAATGTCCAAGACACCATGTGAGACACCGTGTCTACAAGAATTACCTCGTGACAATATTGTGATTACAGGCCTGAGTTTAAGAAACTGCCCAAGAATGTTCAACTAATAATGGAACAATGATTCAAACTTGCATAATCTGATGCTACAACCTGCATTATCCTATTACCTGCAAAATTTCTGCTTTTGGAGGTTTCATTTTCTGGTCTTCAGTCAATGAAATATTTTACAGGCCGGGCGCAGTGGCTCACGCCTGTAATCCCAGCACTTTGGGAGGTCAAGGCTGGCAGATCACGAAGTCACGTGATCGAGACCATCCTGGCTAACATGGTGAAACCCTCTCTCTACTAAAAATACAAAAAAATTAGCCGGGCGCGGTGGCGGGCGCCTGTAGTCCCCAGCTACTTGGAAGGCTGAGGCAGGAGAATGGTGTGAACCCGGGAGGCGGAGTTTGCAGTGAGCAGAGATCGCGCCATTGCGCTCCAGCCTGGGAGACAGTGAGACTCCATCTCAAAAAAAAAAAAAAAAAAAAAAGAAATACTTTACAAAGGAAAGTCTGGAACATATGAATTAACTGTCTGGATCAGATGTTTTTACTAGTAAAACCAGCTAGATTTTATTGAGTGTTACGTGCCAATTAATTGGGTAGGCCCCAAAAATTAAGGCCTAACTTACTACAATTGTAGTTAATTATTTAATACTTCTTTCTCTTTATAGACTATAAACTCAATTGATGACACCAAATGTGGCTGTTAAATGCCACTTCGGCCGGGCGCGGTGGCTCACGCCTGTAATCCCAGCACTTTGGGAGGCCGAGGCAGATAGACCACGAGGTCAGGAGATTGAGACCATCCTGGCTAACATAGTAAAACCCCGTCTCTACTAAACATACAAAAAAAATTAGCCGGGCATGGTGGGCGGGTGCCTGTAGTCCCAGCTACTCAGGAGGCTGAGGCAGGAGAATGGCGTGAACCCGGGAGGCGGAGCTAGCAGTGAGCCTAGATCGTACCACTGCACTCCAGCCTGGGCAACTGAGCAAGACTCCGTTTCAAAATAAATAAATAAATAAATAAATAAATAAATAAATAAATAAATGCTGTGCCTCAAGTACCTAGAGTACAGTACATACATTTAATATACATTTCTTGAATAAATTAACAAATTACCAAATAAAGGGCTATGAATGTATTTGAAAGTCTTTATTTTTTTCATATATACATATATGTATATGTAAATATTTATTTTAGAGACATATAAAAAATATGACTGATCTCAAACTTCTGACCTCAAGTAATCCTCATTCCTCAGCCTCCAAAAGTGCCAAAATTACAGGTGCAAGACACCACACCTGGTCCCCAATTTTTTTTTCACTTTTTTTTTTTGAGACAGAGTCCCATAGTATTGCCTGGGCTGCAGTGCAATGGTATAATCTCGGCTCACTGAAACTCCGCCTCCCAGGTTCAGGTGATTCTCCTGCTTCAGTCTCCCAAGTAGCAGGGATTACAGGCACCTGCCACCATGCTTGGCTTAGTTTTTGAATTTTTTTAGTGAGACAGGGTTTCACGTTATGTTGGCCAGGCTGGTCTTGAACTCCTGACCCTGTGATCTACCCATATCGGCCTCCCAAAGTGCTGGGATTATAGGTGTGAGCCACCATGCCCAGACTTTCTTTTCACTTTTAAGAATTGTTGTTGTTGATGGTGTTGCTTTGGGTTTTTGTGAGACAGGGTCTTGCTCAGCTTCACAGGCTGGAGTGTAGTGGCACAATTAAGACTCACTGCCGAGACCGGGAACGGTAGCTCACGCTTGTAATCCCAGCACTTTCGGAGGCTGAGGTAGGCGGATCACAACGCCAGGAGTTCAAGACCAGCCTGGCCAACATGGCGAAATCCCATCTCTACTAAAATTACAAAAATTAGCTGGGCATGGTGGCGGGCACCTGTAAATCCCAGCTACTTGCAAGGCTAAGGCAGGAGAATCGCTTGAAACCCAGGAGGCAGAGGTTGCAGTAAGCCGAAATTGTGCCACTGCACTCCAGCCTGGGCAACAAGAGCAAGACTCCATCTTTTAAAAAAAAAAAAAAAGGCTCACTGCCGAATCAACCTCCCAGGCTCAACCAATCCTCCCACCTGAGGCTGCAGAGTACCTAGGACTACAGGGGAGTGCCAACATGACCAGCTAATTTTTTCATTTTTTGTAGAGATGAGGTACCACTATGTTGCCCAGGCTGGTCTCAAACTCCTGGAAGCAATGCTTCTGCCTCCCAAAGTGCTAGGACTACAAGTGGGAGCCACCACACCCAGTCAACTTTCAAGAAATTTTTGCAGAAAAGTGTTCAACTAGTCTCGCCTATAACAGCCTCTATTAAAAAGTACTGATGGGAAAACAATTCCCACTCCATGAATAAAAGCATAGATACCTTGCTACAAATGTCTATTTTATTTTATTTTATTTTATTTTGAGACGGAGTCTTGCTCTGTCGCCCAGGCTGGAGTGCAGTGGCCAGATCTTAGCTCACTGCAAGCTCCTCCTCTCGGGTTCACGCCATTCTCCTGCCTCAGCCTACCGAGTAGGTGGGACTACAGGCACCCACCACTTAGCCCGGCTAGTTTTTTGTATTTTTCAGTAGAGACGGGGTTTCACTGTGTTAGCCAGGATGGTCTTGATCTCCTGACCTCGTGATCCGCCCGTCTCGGCCTCCCAAAGTGCTGGGATTACAGGCTTGAGCCACCGCGCCCGGCGTAAATTTTAACTTTTATTTTGGGGTAGGGAGGTGAGGAGGGGTGGGTATGACAAATCTGGGAGAGAGAAAGGAGAAAGCTGTCACAGAGGGAAAGATGTAATAACGAGAGAGAGAAAGATATTCAGAAGCATATGAAGAAAAATCAAAGACAGCCATGATCCTAGGGACTCCGTATCTGAAAAACCTACTTGGATTTTTTTCTTTTTAAAGCACCGACTAGAAAGTGCGAAAGAGTGGGAGGATCTACCAACCACAAATTTTTCTAAAAGAATTGTTTATTGGTCAGCAGTTCCTAAGTCAAAGATTGACTATATTTTTAAATTATTTTCTCCCACAGGAAAAAAACACTGAAATAACATGCTTTTTTGAAGTTACAAGTGAATTTGAATCTTGGCTCTTATGCTTTGTGAGCATTTTCTTTTTCTCTCTTTTTTTTTTTTTTTGAAACATGTTGCCCAGGCTGGAATGCAATGGCACGATCTCAGCTCACTGCAACCTGCGCCTCCCGGGTTCAAGCGATTCTCCTGCCTCAGCCTCCCAAATAGCTGGGATTACAGGTGCGTGCCACCGCATCGGACTAATTTTTGTATTTTCAGTAGAGACAGGGTTTTACCATGTTGGCCAGGTTAGTCTCGAACTCCTGACCTCAGGTGATCCACCCACCACGGCCTCCCAAAGTGCTGGGATTACAGGCGTGAGCCACTATGCCCAGCCATAACTAGCTCTTATTAAGGTTTGCTGAGATCATTAACTATATAAACAAATATTGTCTATAAAGTCTATTCTTGTAACAACCTTGTACTTCTAGTTCTCCAACTCCCAAATCGAAACGTATGCTTTATTTCAAATTTGCAATGGTGACCTATAACAAGGAAAAAGTTAAGTGAAGAGGAAATCACAGGAACCCTTTAAAAAATGGCATTGTGGCCAGGTGCAGTGCCTCACACCTGTAAATCCAACAGTTTGAGAGGCCAATGCGGGCAGATCACTTGAGCCCGGGAGTTCTAGACCACCCTGAGCAATAAGACGAAACTCTGTCTTTACAAAAAAAATTAAAAAATTAGATGGGCATGGTGGCCCACATCTGTAGTTCCAGCTACTTAGGGGATACTGAGGCGGAAGGATCACTTGAGACCAAGAGGTAAAGGCTGCACTGAGCCATGATCACACCACTACACTGCAGTCTGGACAACAGGGCCAGACCCTGTCTCAAAAAAAAAAAAAAAAAAAAAAAAAAGAGAGAGAAATCGCATTGTAAAGGATGTAAGAATAGATATTAATTAGGCTGGGTGTGGTGGCTCTCACCTGTAATCCCAGCACTTTGGGAGGCCGATGCGGGCAGATCACAAGGTCAGGAGTTCAAGACCAACCTGGCCAACACAGTGAAACTCTGTCTCTACTAAAAACACAAAAATTAGTTGAGCATGGTGGCGTGTGCCTGTAGTCTCAGCTACTTGAGAGGCTGAAGCAGGAGAATCACTTGAACCTGGGAGGCCGAGGTTGCAGTGAGCCTAGATCGCTCCACTGCACTCCAGCCTGGGCAACAAGAGCAAAACTCCATCTCAAAAAAAAAAAAAAAAAGCTGGGCGCGGTGGCTCATGCCTGTAATCCCAGCACTTTGGGAGGCCGAGGCAGGTGGATCACCTGAGGTCGGTAGTTCAAGACCAGCCTGACCAACATGGAGAAACCTCGTCTCTACTAAAAATACAAAATTAGCCAGGCGTGGTGGCACATGCCTATAATCCCAGCTACTAGGGAGGCTGAGGCAGGAGAATTGCTTGAACCTGGGAGGCGGAGGTTGCGGTGAGCCGAGATCTTGCCATTGCACTCCAGCCTGGGCAACAAGAGTGAAACTCCGTCTCCAGAAAAAAAAGAATAGATATGAATTATTATCAATGCTAATGCTAATGCTTCCTCCCTGAAATACTCTCCTCCCTTGCTTCCAGGACAGAGTCTGATGGCTCTTCCCGCCATTCCAATGAATGAATGCTCCCTTCTCAGTCGTTATTGATTTGTTCTGATCTTCCAAATCTCTACACACTAGAGAACTCCAAGGTTCAAGGTTTGGTGTTTTGACTTCAAAAATATCATGTTCATAAATCCAGGCAGGACGGTTGCTCTAAATCCTAGGTATAAATCCAACTACCTGCTTGACTTACACTGCCAACACCTAGAACAGTGGCTAACACAAAGGCACTCCAAGTTTTATTTATGGAATAAATAAGTGGGCCGGGCGCAGTGGCTTACACCTGTAATCCCAGCACCTTGGGAGGCCAAGACAGGTGATCACCTGAGGTCAGCAGTTCTGACTCCAGCCTGGCCAACATAGTGAAACCCCATCTCTACTAAAAATACAAAAATTAGCTGGGTGTGGTGGCGCAGGCCTGTAATCCCAGCTACTCAGGAGGGTGAGGGACAAGAATCACTTGAACTTGGGAGGTGGAGGTTGAAGTGAGCTGAGACTGCACCACTGCACTCCAGCCTGGGTAACAAAGTGACACTCTCAAAAAATAAATAAGCAGGCCTTTGAGTCCCTATGCTTAGGCCCGTTCCCAGACTGTGGAGTGCTACTTTCATTTTCAATAAAACCCTTCATTCCTTCCTTGCTTTGTTTGGGCATTTTGTCCAATTCTTTGTTCAAGACGCCAAGAACTTGGACACTCTCCACTGGTACCATATTTTGGTGAGCCAGCCAGAAGGAAGTCAAGCAGGTTCACTATGACCGCTCAGGGAGACAGAACCCAGAAGCCTGGCATGTTGGCAAAAGGGTAAAGAAAGCTTTTATTTTTTTGAGACGGAGTCTCGCTGTCATCCAGGCTGGAGTGTGGTGGCGCGATCTCGGCTCACCACAACCTCTGCCTCCTGGTTCAAGCAATTCTCCTGCCTCAGCCTCCTGAGTAGCTGGGATTACAGGTGCATGTCACCATGCCCGACTAATTTTTGTAATTTTAGTAGAGACAGTGTTTCACCACGTTGGTCAGGCTGGTCTCAAACTCCTGACCTTGTGATCCACCCGCCTTGGCCTCCCAAAGTGCTAGGATTACACGTATGAGCCACCACGCCCAGCCCTAAGAAAGTGTTTTATGGTTTGAATCTTCTGGAAACATCAAAGAAAGACAGTCACTGGGCATGGTGGCTCACGCCTGTAATCCCAGCACTCTGGGAAGCCAAGGAAGGCGGATCACAAGGTCAGGAGATTGAGCCCATCCTGGCTAACATGGTGAAACTCCATCTCTACTAAAAATACAAAAAAACTAGCTGGGCATGGTGGCACACGCCTATACTCCCAGCTACTTGGGATGCTGAGGCAGGAGAATCGCTTGAACCTGGGAGGCAGAGGCTGCAGTGAGCTGAGATCACGCCACTGCACTCCAGCCTGGGCAACAGAGTGAGACTCCATCTCAAAACAAAGAAAGAAAGACTGTCCTTGCCATCCACACTACAACAAAACTTTGGGACCTTGAACTTTGGGTTCATGGTCTCACAAATGAAAAGGGTCCCTCCACACTTTTGGAACTGTGCACCCACTGGAACCCTTGAGACACCATCAAGCTTCAGATGATCATGCAACAAAGGTTCCAGCCAGTTCCAGGCGAAGACACCACCCCTAGCCATCGAGAAGCTACCCTGCCTCCACTAGATGGAGCAGGGCGCGAGTTCTGTGATCCCCAATAGGTAGAGACCACAACCCAAGTCAGCATGAAGCAGTTACAGAAAAAAAGACCATTGGTTCCTCTGCCTCCCATAAAGATTTATGAGGATCACATCTCTAAGTGGGGAGATGAGGCAAGAAAATAGAGTCTGGAAGCAGGGAACAGAAGGCCAATTCACAATTCAGCTATAACAGGAAATATCCTCTCCATAGGGCATACACCAAGTAAATGACTTTGTAACTTTACTTCATCCTCTTCATTTACACAGGGCATACCCCAAGTAGAGGGTATTTAAACTCACAAAAACTCTGTAACAGGGCCTTCGAGCCCCTATGCTCAGGCCCACACTGCAGAGTGTACTTTCATTTTCAATAAAACCCTTCATTCCTCCCCTGCAAAAAAAAAATAAGTGACTGATTTTTAAAAATATAATGCGCTCTACAAAAGTAAAGTAATTGGAGGGGAAAGGGAGGTGGGACAGGCAGAGAACAGAACTGGAGGCAGTCCATCTAGGGAATGGGACTGTGAGGCCATACTTGTGAAACATTTGGACTGCTATTCTACAACTTTTATTTGGTGTGTTCGTTGCACAGCTATTTGAAATGTTTAATAAAGCTTTATAAACTTAAAAAGAATGCACTCATATAAGCAGTTAATGTAAATATACTTGTATTATTCTAAGTGAAAGGGCAAAAGAATAAACATACAACATTTTGAAAATGAGCTATTTTTTGCAACCTCTAAAAGTTTTTCCACTGTGCCAGGTTATTAAACTAGGAATATCCTGCTCCATCCTGGCACACCAAAAGTCTCCTTTTAACCTACAATAGACTTGAAGCATAAAATAAAACTTAAGAAGTATTTTCAGCTGGGCGTGGTGGCTCACGCCTGTAATCCTAGCACTTTGGGAGGCCAAAGCGGGTAGATCACCTAAGATCAGGAGTTCAAGACCAGCCTGACCAACATGGTGAAACCCCATCTCTACTGAAAACACGAAAAAATTAGTCGGGCGTGGTGGCACACGCCTGTAATCCCAGCTACTTGGAAGGCTGAGGAGGGAGAATCGCTTGAACCCGGGAGGTGGAGGTTGCAGTGAGCCGAGTTCACGCCACTGCACTCCAGCCTGTGTGACAAGAGTAAGACTCCATCTCAAAAAAAAAAAAAAAAAAGTATTTTCACGTTATCTAGATTTCGTTGTTTTTCTGGCATAAATATTATTGACAGTGTCCTAGTACCCACCCTGCCCCAGTTATAAAAGTAGACATTTCTTTAAAAATTAGTATGTTTTACCCATATGAAAAAAGAAAACTATTAGCTAGGTATGGTGGTGCATGCCTATAATCCCAGCTACTCGGGAGTCTGAGGCACAAGAATCACTTGAATGTGGGACGTAGAGATTACAGGGAGCCAAGATCACACCACTGCACTCCAGCCTGGGCAACAGAGCAAGACAGTATCTCAAAAAAAAAACAGAAAACTAGCATTCCATGTAGACTAGACCACTCTATTACCCAGATTATATAAATAAACAGACACCTCATAATCCAACAATATTTGAAAACAAATGTAATGAACACCCTTAATAGTACATACACAAATTAACTATTAATAAAATCTTACTTATGATATTGTTGAGTTTTCTGCATCAGCTTCTCTGGCAAGCCATCTTCATCATCAAACTGCTCCATGGGTTCCACAATGACTGGACGAGGGGTCCTGGATAGGTATAAAAGCATTCATAAAAATTAACACGGTGCCAAGAATTAATACCTTCTTAAAAGAAATGTTTTATAATAATAAAGATATATACTTAGAAAATGTCTCACTTGAGAAAAATGTCTCAGAAGTATCATTTGTACTCATAAAAATCAGTCAATAGCCGAAGCAGTGGCTCACGCCTGTAATCCCAGTACTTTGGGAGGCCAAGGCGGGCAGATCACTTGAGGTCAGGAGTTCAAGACCATCCAGGCCAACATGGTGAAACTCCTTCTCTACTGAAAATACAAAAAATTAGCCGGGCATTGTGGTGTGTGCCAGCTACTCAAGAGGCTGAGGCAGGAGAATTGCTTGAACCCGGGAGGGAGAGGTTGAAGTGAGTGGAGATTGCATCACTGCACTCCAGCCTGGGCAACAGAGCAAGACTCCATTTCGAGAAAAAAAAAAAAATTCAGTCAATAAACATTTACTGAGCCAGAGAGAGATGAATGTCAAAAGCCACAAAAAGATGAGTAAATAAAGCAACAATCATGAACCAGCATAACAGCTATAGTTAACATTTAGAAAGTATGATGAAAACGAGTTTGTACCTAACTCATGTTTTATATGTGTGGTCATCATCATAGCCACTGCTTCAGCTATTGACTGATTTTTATGAGTACAAATGATACTTCTGAGACATTTTTCTCAAGTGAGACATTTTCTAAGTATGTATCTTTATCATCAACATGTCCCACCACCTCAACCCACCCACCTGTGCCCACCACCCGGTTTCCCTGTATCGATCAGTATTGTCCAGGAAGTTCTTAAAAATGTTGGCCAGGAGGCACAGTGGCTCACACCTGTAATCCCAGCACTTTGGAAGGCCAAGGCAGGCGGACCACCTGAGGTTAAGAGTTTGAGACCAGTGGGGCCAACATGGTGAAATCCCATCTCTACTAAAACTACAAAATTTAGCCAGGCGTGGTGGCACATGCCTGTAGTCCCAGCTACTCAGGATGCTGAGGTATGAGAAATGCTTGAACTCAGGAGGCAGAGGTTGCAGTGAGTGGCGATCGCACCACTGTACTCCAGCCTGGGCGGCAGAGCGAGACTCTTGTCTCAAAAAAAAATAATGTTAAAGCTGAGAATCAGATCTAAAACATGTCAGCGAAGTGGCTCACATCTGTAATTCCAGTGCTTTGGGAAGCAGAGGCGGGGAAGATGGCTGGAGCCCAGAAGTTTGAGACCAGCCTGGGAAAGATGACAAGACCCTGTCTCTATAATATATTTTAAAATTAGCCAGGTGGCATACACTACTCAGGAGGCTGAGGTGGGAGGCTCACTTGAGCCCAGGAATTTGAGGCTGCAGTGAGCTACGATAAAGCCACTGAACTCTAGCCTGGGCAATAAGGCAAGACGCTATCTCTAAATTAAAATAAAAATAAAAGATGTTAGCCAGACAAAAGGGAAAGAGGGAAGGCAGAAGACACCAGACATTCAAGGAGAAAAGTTGGGAGAAGGAAGTGACAAGAAGAGTGGGTGATGAAAGATATGACTAGAGGCCCTCCTTCTTTACTGTTTTCTTGAGTAAAACAGGAGAAAAGGAGAGTTCATGGAGGGAAGGAGGAATAAGTAGAATGGATGGCACACTGATATTAAAATTTCCTTTGAGACTGGCTCTTCACCATGCAATTAAAATCTATTTATACTACCTTCAAAATAGTGATGCTTCAGAGAGAAAAAACTAAGCTAGAAAGATGAAGGGGGTTTTTGGACTCCAAAAGTTTCTCTTACACATAATACCAGAGATTGACACAGACTTTAGATCCTAAATGTTAAGAAAAGACACAAAAACTTTTCAAAATTATTACTGAGTTAGTGAAGACATTTTAAGGAAACAGTTAAAGCAGGTATGGAACATCATGAAGTGGTGAAATGAGATTATAGAAACCTCACATAAACTGAATAGGAACCCAAAGGTAAAGAGACTTAAGACATGGTACTTCTAAAAGTACCCAAAAAGGCCCAGGGCCAAAATGAAAATGATGCATTTTATGGACCATTCATCCGCTGGAAGCTATGGCAGGGCCACAAACAAAGAACAATAACAGAACCAGACAAGAGGTACACCTAAGCAGGGGCCAACAAAGAAATAAGCAAACCCCTCCAGTAACACAAGACCACCCCCCTTCAAACAAACTTTAGAAACAGAGAATTAAGAGGGAAAAATGAACTAAGCAGATGATATGTCATTCATCAGAAATGACAAAAGTATATGAAGCCAAGGGAAACCGTAATCAGTAGTAAGAGAGAAAACTCTGACATCTCTGTACTCTCAAATATGTTAGAGATTTTAACAAATTGTACACTTTTCACATGTAAGTTTGGGCCACTAGACAACTCTTACACAGTATGGGAGAGAAGAAGTACAGATTTCTAAGAGGGAACTTAATCGATACAAACAAATTTATAGTCTCCCTCTACCACTCTCTCTCTATATTCATCTTGCTCCTACAATTCCACTTCTAGAGAGACACATAAACCAGTAAGCAAAGATCAATCACAACCACATTCATTAATTACACAACATAAAAAGACCAAGGAACATGGGTATGTATTGTGTACAAGGGAATTACTTAAGGGACTGTATCTTATTTTTATTTATTGGAACACATGCTAAAATGTTAACATCTATGGTTTCATTGTACATACACCACTCCCTATAGAAGCTCCCTTTGTCCACCTTCTGACTCATCTTGTTTATTTCACTTTCATCTTTAGGTATAACCAAAGTTTGTAAAACTCAACCTAAGGCCGGGCACGGTGGCTCACGGCTGTAATCCCAGCACTTTGGGAGGCCAAGGCAGGTGGATCACTCAGGAGTTTGAGACCAGCCTGACCAACATGTGAAATCCCGTCTCTACTAACACAAAAAATTAGCTGGGTGTGGTGGTGCATGCCTGTAGTCCCAGCTACTTGGGAGGCTGAGGCAGGATAATCACTTGAACCCAGGAAGCGGAGGTTGTAGTGAGCTAAGACTGTGCCATTGCACTCCAGCCTGGGCAACAAGGGCAAAACTATTTCAAAAAACAAACAAACAAACAAACAAAAACTCAAATTCTGTTTGCCATAGGTATAATAACTAAATTTATTTTTTTTTCTTGAGACAGTGTCTCACTCTGTTGTCCAGGCTGGAGTGCAGTGGCGCAATCACAGCTCACTGCAGCCTCAAACTCCAGGGCTCAAGATATCCTCTCGCTTCAGCCTCCCAAAGTGCTGGGATTACAGCCATGAGCGACTACGTCTGCCCAGGTTACTCTTTTTGCAAATGTAACTACATAGTAAGTGGAAAACAGCTGGGCACGGTGGCTCATGCCTGTAACCCCAGCATTTTGGGAGGCCGAGGCAGGCGGATCACAAGGTCAGGAGTTCAAGACCAGCCTGACTAATATAGTGAAACCCCGTCTCTACTAAAAAATATAAAAATAATTAGCTGGGCGTGGTGGCACACACCTGTAATCCCAGCTACTCAGGAGGCCGAGGCAGGAGAATTGCTTGAACCCAAGAGGCAGAGGTTGCGGTGAGCTGAGATCGTGCCACTGCACTCCAGCCTGGGAGACAGAGGGAGACTCTGTCTCAAAACAAAAAAAGTAGAAAACAGATGGAAAAGAAACAAATCAAAGTCTTCAACCATAATGTTGAATCTGAAGTTACTGCTTGGATTTTTGTTTTTCTCCCCATTTTACCACCAAGTCAATCATTAGTTTGGTTATAAACGTGAAGCACTGAAAGAGAGGCGCTTCGGTACCGAGGCCCTGGGGTTTAGAGCAGGTTATGAGCTATGTATCCTTCAGCTAGGAGGTTCACCCGCGCTAGCCGAAGTTTTCTCAGCGCATCATAGGGTTGTTATGATAACGAAAGAAGAAAAGTAGGGCACTTAGCACAGTTCTTGGTAAAGAGAGTTCATTAAATGAAAGTGAAGTTGGCTGGGCGTGGTGGCTCAAGCCTGTAATCGCAACACCTTGGGAGGCCAAGGCGAGTGTATCACCTGAGGTCGGTAGTTTAAGACCAGCCTGGCCAACATGGTAAAATCTCATCTCTACTAAGAAATACAGAAAAATTGGCTGGGCGTGGTGGCGGGCGGCAGCTGTGGTCCCAGCTACTCAGGAGACTGAGGAACGAGAATTGCTTGAATCCAGGAGGTGGAAGTTGCAGTGAGCAGAGATCACACCACTGCGCTTCAGCCTGCACAGCAGACTGAAACTCTGTCTTGGGAAAAAAAAAAACTGAAGGTTTTTTTTGGGTGGTAAGAGGGGAAAAAGTATTTCAGTGTTCTTTCAGGCCTGAAAATACCAAAATTTAAAGCGTTAATTTATTTACAAAAACACTTGAAAAATGTTTCATTGTGGAAAAACTTAAATAGTAAGTTTTGTAGAAGAAAGAAGGCCCCTGAAATCCTAACATGTGGAGAGGAGCTCTGATCACATTTTTGTGAAAACCACTTAAGACTTGCCTTTCTGTTGGATATATGCATAACATTACATAAAGTGAATCACCTATACATGCTTTTTTCCAGATATCCAATGTACTCAATGTAAAATGGCACCATTTTACGCACTGCATGCATGCACAATAATTTTTTTAACCATACCAACTAGTATACATCTGGGGTTTTCATGTTTTCTGTAATGATATATAATACAAATTACGTATTTGTGACTGATCTTTCCTCATTGTGGCTGATCTTTCCTTAGAACTGTGGAAACAAGGTAGAATATACAGTACTAAAAACATGGCGACTTAAGTGCCGGGCAAGGTGGCTTCTGCCTGTAATCCCAGCATTCTGGCAGACTGAAGTGGGAGGATCATTTGAGGCCAGGAATTCCAGGTTACAATGAGCTATGATCATGCCACTGCACGCCAACCTGGGTGACAGCAGAACTTGCCTTAAAAAAAAAAAAAAGTGACTTAAAAGATACACAATATTTTGCGTATGTAATTTCTTTTTTTTTTTTTGA